ACTACTTGTAAATTAGTGTGGCTAAGGTACCGTCTACAGGAGATAGAATACAATGTTAACACTCCAATGAAGCTCTACTGTGACAATTAGGCTGCAGTTCATATTTCTTCTAATCCGGTGTTTCATGAAAGAACCAAGCACATAGAGGTTGACTGTCACATTTTGAGAGAGGGAACCAGTGGGCAAACTTATTTACTAAAGGGTTGAGTCGGGGAAGAGTGGACTACATATGTAACAAGCTATGATTATATGATATATACTCACGAGCTTGAGGGGGAGTGTTAGTGTCGAGTATGTAGGGGTATTTCTGTCTTTATACTTATGTTGAGGTTGTTGATCTGTAATATTATATTAGAACTAGTGTCCCTTACTTAAGTAAGGGCACATGTGTCTTTTCCATTATGTTAGTAATATAGAACATGTCTGGCCGAATGGGAGAGGTAATTTTCTCTCTTTCGAACCAGACTTTTCTTCTCTCATTTTCTCCTCTTTTCTCTCTCTCTTTCTTTCTTCTTTCTTCTTCTCTCTTCTTGGCTGTTATCAGACTAACAGAACTCAAGGGCAGGACAAATCATAATAATTCTTTTCTTTGATGTGTCATCATTCTTATGTTTTCTTTGTTATTTTATGAGTTGTGCTCTCAGGCAGGGGCATTTTTGTCATTAAAACTTGATATAAATAATAAAAAGTAGGGCTGCACATGCATCCCTAAGAAGATTTTCTTCTCATTCTTTTTTCTTTCCTTCCTCTTCTTTCTTTTTTCCTTTTGCTGCCAGTGTTCATCGATTATTTACAGAATACAGATTTTATTTATATTAAAATTCTTATCTGATTGAGGTTTTCTTGTTGGTTTCAGAGGAGAATTTTTCTCCTCTTTCTTTCTCGCATTTTGCACATACATTTCTCAGATCATCAGGGTGTATGGGCTGTTATTTTCTGATATTTATAGCTTGGAGAACTTTAGATTCAAATTTGAAGCCCAGAAGATTCTCTAGGGTTTTCTGCCCAAAACACCAAGAAAGCCAGAGATTTTCTGATCGTGAGGACTGAGAGTAGTGACCTTACTTTGCTCAGATCATCAGTGGTGACCTTTTCTTATCGTGAAGACTGCAGTGTTCTGCTTTGTTTTCTGGGGTGCCTGCAGATTGTGGATCCTACTTTTCTTTTTCTCCAACCTTGATTCAGGTGAGGTTTATTCTGTAGAGCCCTAGAAATTAACTGTAGGTCACTTCTACTGGTGTGGCAGCATGTCTTTGGTATCAGTTACCACAGTGAGCTTAGATGGAAACAACTACATGGAATGGTCTCAATCTATCCATATCTATATTGAATTCAATGCACCCACAGATCAGTCACAACTTTGTGTGGTTGAAAACAGCAAGAGAGATACGGGAAGGCATACCTGAAACCTATTCTCAATCTATGAATGTTGCTAGAGCTTATGAAGTACAGAGAAAAATCAGTAATTTAAAGCTTGGGAGATGCCTTTAGCAGTTTATTCCTCCATCATGAAATGCTATTGGAGAACTTGGAGTTGGAGAGCCCTAAAGATGTTGCACTGTTCAAGAAACTTGTTGAAAGAAAGATTGTTCAAGTTACTCAAAGGGCTAAGTTCTGAATATGATATAATATGACAACACATACTCGTCCGGGATGACATAAGTCAATCTTGAGCTGGTCTTGTTCCGCTCAGGTCAAAAACTCGCTAATTAAGGCAAATCATACAGAGGCTGGTAGTTGATAACTAACTACTCAGGTTAACAGGAAATAATCACTTAACAGGTGGAAGATTCTAGAATAATTGCTATTAGTAGAAATCTGCAGAAACAAAAACTGTAGAGAAAGACTAATATGTACAAAGACCAATATGCCCTTATAGGGTGGCTAACACTAAAATGCTCAATAAAAGACTTAAAAACACCACTATAAAGGGTCCCAACAGGTGTGCTGTGGTCCCCACTCGGCCACTCCCTAACTAAACTAATAATAACCAAATTAACCAACAAATCTGCACAAATCATATAAATGGGGTATCTATTTTGACAGGGGCATCCATGACCCAATTCCTCATCTTCTCTCACTTAGAATCTATCACTTCTTCCTCTTTCCCTCTGTTAGTCTCTCCCTCAGGCCATCAACCTTCTAGAACTACGATGGCTTGATCCCTCTCCAGAGGGTACATAGTGTAATCCCTTGGGGGGTTTGACCACCTCCCTTCTACTACCATCAGGTTTGTCCATTTCCCTTTGACCTTTAGAGAGCCATGGGCACCTCCTCCACCAAGTCCATTGACTTACACGTGGAAATAAGTGAATCACCGAGGAATATACACCCTCCACTAATAAACCACCCGATTTCAGGACATCCTGCCCAATTGGCATCAACATATGCCAAAAGATGATGTTGGAGGGAAGATGAGAAAAAAATAGTCCACAAGGAATGACCTGAATGTACCTAATAATCTGGTGGATAGCAAATAAATGAGGTTGTCTAGGGGAGGAAATCTGAATTGAAATTGGTAGAAAGGGTAAGCCAGGAAATCTGAATTGAAATTGGTTGAGAGTTGCACCTGCAAGCACAAATAGATGTCAAAGGCCTTGGGGTGTGGTCCCAGGGGTAGAGACTCCAACAATTAAGTAAGTCGGAGTCGTTGGAGATCCGAGGTGCCAAGATGAGAGCATGAGCAAGAGTAATAGAGTCTATGCAACATTATGTTTATGTCTATTAGGATTCGGCCTGCCCTTGAATCCTGTTAGACTGATAACAGTTGAAGTAAAAGAAAGAGAGAAAGAGAGAGAAGAGAAGAGAAGGAGAGAAAGTTCTGGTTTGAACAAGAGAGAAAAGTCATCTCTCCCATTCGGCCAGATTTGTTTTTATATTACTATTAATCTGGCAATGACACATGTGCCCCTACTTAAGTGAGGGACATAAGATCTAACATAACATTACACATCAGCAGCTTAAACATAAGCATAAAGACGAAAATACCCCTACATATTCGACATTAACAATGTCATTAATGTTCAAGACACAACAATTGTCTCTAAATCTTCTATCGATGCTAAATATCAAGATCTGTCTTCTTATCATAACGAAATTATTTGGTAATGGTGACTCTTGAATGATTTTTGTATATCTTTCTCTTCATTACACCTCTTTGCTAATATGAGTTTGATCCGTGTGGCGTTTCCATGAAGATACATATCAAATGCATTGGACTGGATTGTCATTTCATGAACATAGTTGTCAAGGTGATTGATAGCTAGGTGCCCATGGAGGGCCACCTTGCTTAAATACCAAGCTGATTTGTACATGGTGCTATGAAATACTTTTATATTTAATTTTTTTATTATATTGATAAAATAGACATTATTAAGTAAATGTTTATTTTCTACATCCATATGCTAGTTTGTTTTTACTATTTTCTTAATTGTTAGGGTTCAATCAACACACATTTTGGTGTATGCTGTCTTGAACCCTCGAAGCCTTTAAAACCTGAAGCAATAAACAAGTAAGAATTTAAAATTTTATCCAATCAACATATTCTTTTTCTTATTTTCCTTGGACAAAAACAAGGGCTCAGGTGCTCAGCCACTATATTTTCTGAATTATCTTTTCTTTCTTTTTCTTTTAATGAATATGTTGATATTTTATATTTTAATATGAGGTTTATACTTTTTTATGAAGATTCTAGATAGTTATTAATGAAAGTTGATTGGTAGCTTCTATAGAACCAATGGAATTGCCCTAGGATTCCTGTTTTTTATTTAAAAAAAAAAAACACTGCTTAGGCGACATCTAGGTGCTCAACTAAGCAAGTAGGCAACAGAGTGCCACCTTGTGGTCTAGCCTCATCTTGCCTCCTTGAAAATTATGTTCATAATTCATTCGAAATCAGTATTCAGTAGGGGAATTACTACACTATTCCGCATTGCTTCTCTTCTACGGATTGTTAATATCTTTATCGAAGCCATGATAGATATTTTCATGATTTTTTTTAGTTGGCAAGCCGACATTGTCATCACTTCATTTTGAGGGGGAACAGGAAGGGAAAAGCTAAATTGTTATTTATTTGTGTAATGTTATGATAGGGTGTATATCATTGGTTCTTATTTTGTAAAATCCTGTAATTTATATGTGCTATAGAGGCAGTTATGGCTTTGTAGACCTCCTGGTTTTCAGCATTTACCCTGATTTAATCTATCACTAATGCATAATCTGCTTTATAGTAATAAACCTCCCTTTAGCAAGATCCAAGTTGGTGATCCTTGATGGTGAGCCTGATGATCTGTGCTTTTGGAAGGGTGCTGAACTGTATGCTTTTTTAACATGTCCTTTATGACAGAATTGCAATCAATAACCACATCTATAGACACTATAGGGATGACCTATTTTACTGGTATAAGAAAAATATAAATTATAGAATTGCCACTGCCATATGTTTCAATTCAAATAAAACCAACAACTCATAAACTATGTAACCAATAGTGAAATTTTAAACACAAACTATGACTAATTTTAAGCAATAATGTAATATTATGCAATGACTACTTAAGTTAAGCATATACGCTAGTTAATAGGAACAATTTAGTGGCAAAATTGAAATAAATAATGAAAGAATTGTTTGTTTTCAAAGTGAACTAGGGGAAGAGATTGGAAAATCTTTAAGTAATGGAAAGTGGAATCAACATATTTGTCAGTATTTTCTTTCCTTTGAATGTAGTTTATCATTTCTATTATTAATTGTAACAATTACTTTTCTCATATATTTACATCTCCATATTTTTTAGCAGATCATATCTCTATAATTTGAAATGTGGTAATTCATTAATTTTTTATTGACTTTTGACCAAGTCAAAAGCTGAAAATGAGATTTTTATTATTGACATCCATTCATGACCTCTGATATTAATATAACATGGTATTGTTTACGAATTGGTGTCTTCTATCCCAAGTGATTCTCACTCTTTCCATTTTTTTTTTAATTTCTTTTTCTGTAGGTGGTGAAGATGATTTACTATTAAAGATAGAATCCATATTAGAAGCTTGTAATGTTGCATGTTCAAGTGCTGCTATCCACACTTACCATTGGACACATCTATGTTCAGAGGAACAATGCAGACCTCGATCTATTAAGAGGAAGAAATTATCAGAGGCCACTCTCAGCGTACAAGATCCATGCCAGGCAAGTTGCATCATCATGTTGTTTTGCATTGTATATGCCATTTGGTGACATTTTCAGAAATTCATGGGATCTAAGCAAAGATTTATAATTTTATGATGCTCTAGTCTTCATTTTATTTGTATATATGAATATATATTGTATAAAATATCAATATTGTGTTCATTTAGCATTTACTAAGCATGTAGTTCATTTCACAGGATAGTTTTTTTATCAATTTGCATTTATTATACTTTGGAGTTATTTAAGAATTGTGTTTTTCTTGGGTGCTCAGAACCAAAAGGGGTATTGCTATTATGACCCAATGTCGAGGAGCCGATTTGTCACTATGGATGTTACTTTTTTTGAATCCACCTTCTTCTCAAGTAGCTCTCTCCAAACCCGAGTGGAAAATAGCCATGCAAGAAGAGATGGAAGCCTTGGTTAAAAACCAAACTTGGGAAATAGTTGATCTCCCCCCAGACAAGGAGACAGTCAGATGTAGATGGGTATTCACAGTGAAGTATAGGGCCGATGGCAAGATAGAGAGGTACAAGGCAAGGTTGGTAGCAAAAGGGTATACTCAGACTTATGGTGTTGATTATCTGAAAACCTTTGCACCGGTATCTAAGATGAGTTCAGTTCGTATCCTTTTATCTCTAACAACCACCTATTCATGGCCCTTGTTTCAGTTTGATGTCAAAAATGCTTTCCTCAATGGTGACTTACAGGAAGAGGTATATATGGACATTCCAGTAGGCATTTATGAAAATGTTGGTAAAGGAAAGGTGTGCAAACTCAGGAAATCTCTATATGGCCTAAAATAGTCACCTAGGGCTTGGTTCGACAAGTTTAGAGGGGCACTTATCCGTTTTGGATACACTCAAACCCAATCTGATCACACCCTCTTTGTAAAGAAGAGATTGATGATATAGTGGTTACAGGAAATGATCTGGAGGAGATTGATGATCTCAAAAAATCATTGCAGCAAGAATTTGAGATTAAAAATCTTGGTGAGCTCAAATACTTCTTGGGGATTGAAGTTGCAACATCCAAGCATGGGATCTTTATCTCATAGAGAAAGTATGTACTTGACCTACTGTAGGAAACTAGGAAGCTGGGGACCAAACCAGCAGACACTCCTATTGATCAAAATCACAGAATTAATGTTGTGGATGGTGAGTTGGTAAGAGATGTGGGGAGATATCAAAGAATGGTGAACCGACTGCTATATTTGTGTATGACACGACCAAATATTTCTTATGTTGTCATTGTTGTGAGTCAGTACATGCATGCACCTCGGTTCAGCATTGGGAAGCTATTGAGAGAATACTTGCATATCTGAAAAAGCACCTTGGTAGAGGCATTCTTTTCTCAAATCATGAGAATCTGAAGCTAGAATCCTATACAAATGCAAACTGGGCAGGATGCTTAGATGACAGGAGGTCTACATCAGGAGTGTGTACCTTTGTAGATGGAAACTTGATCTCCTAGAAGAGTAAGAAGCAAGCTGTTGTGGCAAGGTCAAGTGTAGAGGCTGAATATAGATCCATGGCTCATGGTGTCTTAAAACTTCTTTGGGTTAGATCTCTTTTGAGTGAGATTGGGGTGAAAGCAGAGGAACCTATGATGTTGTACTATGACAATTAGGTTGCAATCAACATTGCCCACAATCCAATTCAGCATGACAGGACAAAAACATTGAAGTTGATAGACACTTTATAAGAGAGGGTAACAGCCGAAGAAGTCTGTTTGCCTTATGTCTTTTCGGAGTTGCAGTTGACTGATGTTCTTAGTAAAGGGGTGGCAAAGAACAAGCTTGAACATGATCTACGCAAGTTGGGAATGTGTGACATTTACTCCCAACTTGAGGGTGAGTGTTGAAGATTAATCAGTTTTATGTTGTTTTTCTGAGCAAATGTTTTATGCTAGTTGTTAAATAGGAGGTGGGGACTAAAGTAGTTATGTGAGTCCAAATTTTATTATGTTTTTGGGTCTTATATAGGTTGTTTTATGTTATGTCGCCCTATAAGGGCATAGTTGTCTTTGTATTGCTCTAATTTTTAGTATAAATAATAAGGTGGCGTTGCACAATTAAGGCATTTGAAGTCTGAAATAGTTGCTTTTCAGATGCTTGTTTCGTTTGGTTGGGTTTGATTTTCAGATCTGAAACCCAATTTCATATCTAAATAGAAAAGAGCCTCCTTAGGTGCTTAATGCACTAAGAGGTATTTCAGATGTGGGCGAAAGACAAAAGAGCCTCCATAAAAATTTTAAAATGGTTCGTAATGCCCTTCATATAAGCCAAAATTAGGTCATTCGGCTCCTCCCCTCGTTCGAGAAAGGAGATTTGTCGTTGGGAAGTTCATCATCTCCTTCGTCTTTCTTCATCTTCTTCTCCACTTGGCAGCACGAAGCAGGCTTCTACAGATCTGTCCAAAGAGAATGTCTTCAGATCTTCTTCTTCTTCCTTCTCGCTACTACCGCTGCTGAGACTGGGGGGCTCTGTAGGTTTTAATGAGAGGTGAATCTGTTGAGGGCGGATCGGCAAAGTCAGATTCCAGCGAGATTGGTTTTGCAAACTAATGGGAAAAGGAAGGCAGATCGATTGACATGTGAATAGGTAGATCAAAACAGGGAATCCCTGAATTTTTATACTTTAGAGGCCCAAAAATTCCACTCATTAAAACACAGGATCATCCCCCTCCCTATACTCCCCTTGTATATAAAGATTTGTAGCCATTGAAGGTTATTGAAGTTATCAGAGACTAAAAATTCATCTCATTAAAACACATATTAAAATTAAACAAAATCTGACTTTGACAGATTCACCTCCATTGGATACTTTGATAGAACCTCCATCTCAACATTAGTTTTGTTTGTTTGCTTTGTAGTATATATCTCTTCTCCCTGTCAAATCTTTCCCCCTTCAAATCTGTTTTCGTCTTGAGGAGAGAGAAAGTGCAAAGAAAAGACTCACGAAACGAGACCGTTCGTCGTCGCCGTGCTGCTCTCCAAATCTTATTTTGATTTGGTCTCTATCTCTCTCTCTCTCTCTCAGTCAATTGAAGAGAAGTATATAAATCACGTTCTCTTCTCTCATCAACTTTTTTGTTTTATTTATTTAATTTGGTTTTCTTTTCGCCTCTGGTCTACCTGTTGCAGAGTTGGCCAATTGATTGGTCTCGGAGGACTGAATTTTTCAAAGGGGAAGCCCTATTTTGATTGTTTCCGGTTTGGTAGGGATTGTTGTCCAAGTTTGTGTTTAGTCAAAGTGGATCGATCTGTGAGAGTTTCGATCTTTCTGGCGGTGTCGGTTGATCTCAGAGGACGCAGAGATGTCTTCTCTTAGCAAAGAACTTGTGTTTCTGATACTTTAGTTCCTCGAAGGGGAGAAATGCAAGGAAATCGTTCACAAGTATGGGGATATATATCTTCTCTTCTCTTATTTTGGTTGTTTATGTGGTTTTGGAAGCTTGAATTTATTAAAATATATTAATTTAATAATTATTAATTTTTTATTGCTTTATGGTCTTCGCTACTATTTTCATTATTGTTTTAACTCTTAATAATTTATTTTTAATTTACAAATTGATATGTATTTTTCAATTTTATTCTCATTTTAATATTTTTTTATTTTTTATAATTTACTCATATTTTTCATTATTATTTTGAATTTAATAAATTATTTTTATGGAATCATGCAAATTGAACTCAAAACTACCAAAATTTACTATTTTGGGGGTAAAATAGTAAAATCAATGAATTTCAGATACTAAAGGTTTGATCCAACACAAACAACCTTCTTTATTCAGAGCCTCTAAAAAGTCAAAAAGCAACTATGGCTCTTTTCAGATTTCAGACACTTTTAATATCTTTTTAACTTTTCAGATTTCAGATTTATCAAACGCCACCCAAGTGAAGGGGGTGGCCACATTATTGCTCTCTTTTCTTTCAGGATCTCTTCTTCTCCTTCTCTCCTCCTCTCTTCAAGAAACCACTTTTCTGTTCATATTTTTTAAGTTCAGCAGATTTCTACTAGAATCAAGAAGAAATATCTTGTCTTTGGCATTTCCGTGTATCTCAATCTTTTTGGTATATTAACAAAAATTTGGTGCTTATTAATTGATGTTTAGTGAGATAAAATTACATTTCCATTTCTTTAGAGAAGGTGGGCTGAATGGGCCTTAGTTGTGGGCCTGTTTTAGTTTATTTCTTATTGTTATTAGTTCATTCTTATTAGAATAAACTGCCCAAGTTTATCCACTAACAGAGAGCTTTTAGTGTACATACTAATTATGAATGTCTCTAATCATGATTCTATTATGTAGAACAAGGGCTATTACATTCAAGCATACCCAATAACACATCTAATAAACCAATAAACTGAACTTTTATTCATAATAAGGATAGTCTATATCATGCATTGGACCCTGAGGGCATACATTGTCTAACATATACAACAAGAATGATATATCCAAATGCAATTTTTTGACAAATAACAAAGTAACCTGATTGGCATTGTCGCATTCCAAACTCTAGAACAGCCTTACTAAACTTTCCAAACCAAGCACAAGGAAATTGATTAAGCCCGTACAAGGATTTCTTAAGGTGAAATACCAATCGGCACTTCCCTTGAGCAAAAAACCCAAGAGGTTGCTGCATATACACCTCTTGATCAAATGACCATGCAAAAAGGCATTCTTTACATTCAATTGATAAAGTGGTCAGTGGAAAGTAGTAAGAAAAATTATAACTCTAATAGTAGATATTTTTGCAGTAGTAGAAAAATTTATAGTAAAATCAACTCCGTAGATTTGTGTAAACCCCATTTATAGTGAGGCAACCCTTAAGCCTCTCAATAGAACAATTTAGTAAGTCTTTAATAGTATAGACCTACCTAAATCTATAAGTGCAAGAAAACAAAATTACAACATTACAAGATACCACCCAGTCCTAGACAGCCCCAATCCAAGTGAAGTTTCTCAACATCGGCCCTAGCTAGAGAATTGGCCAAAGCATTA